AGAGTCTGCTGAAGGCACGTAGCTGCAAATAGTAGACAGTGAGAGTTACTAATAACAAATTTACATAATGAACGACTGTCCCATCCATCCAGGTACGTAACGAACCATTCTGACCATAAAGCTTTAATGAGCAAGGTAGTCTCCGAGGATATCGACCAATACTACACCATCAGAGGACACATGTGGTGACGGTTCTTTCCAAGTGGCTCTAGTAACGGTGACTACATAGCTGGGATCCGAGGGCCAAAGGATGATCAATGATCCTTACCCGAGGATGATTCGCGGAAATATAGTTGGTACTTGGAGTTCTATCGGAGAAGGGTCTCCCACATGTCTACGTCCCCCGTATGTCATGCGTTTCATCTATGTGGTGACAGTCGATAGATGTGCCAAAAACTGGATCATCCTTGCGCCATGTGCAAGGACGATCATTCGCCCCTCTCAGATGCGCAGGTTTTGGCATCGATAATTTTTGACCCGACATCGTCATCATCCACCGAGTCGAATGTACACCGCGAGGAATACCAAACAAGGCCAAGTTGTCGATGGGTGATGGACCAGGACCTGGGGAACCGATTCTTTTCGTCAGAAAGGCTTAAATGAACCCCATGGATTTGACTTCTCCATGAGTGTGCGTAAGCACTTTCATGTGCAGAGAGTAGGCAGCCGCAGATGAACCTGCACCAATCTTTGGGCACCAAGTTCGATGGCGTTTACAGTTCCACAGAGTTCTTGACTGTCGTGTAGATGGTTTGGCAAGTCTTTAACGTGGGCAGATCAGTGCGCACGCTAGTTGATAAGAAGAGGGAGAGACTCGCCAATGTACAGTGTAAGATTTCATCGTACGAAATAAAACCAAGAATATGACAGCGCTGCGCAACTCCTCTGCAATAGGGTAAAATGCCAGTGAGAGAGCATCAGCCCACGACAGGATGCAGATTGTTGGTTCATTTTTGAGACCAATTAGAAAGATGTAAACAGTCCTTTCCCCGTGGTCGCGTTCTCCAATGACAGAGATTGCCGATGTTCAAATTACCGCTTAGTTGACGTTGTCTTCAGCAGATTTGACAGGTATGATGAACCGGTACTTAACTAAGTTACCTTTGCCCTGCTCCCCTGCTCCTCTCTGGATATCGGCTTCAAAGCGTCTTCCTCTTGATTGATCATATTATCGCCACCTCAACCATGTTCAATCACCACGCGTATTCTATAAGCGATCTCAGACCAGCACATTAGCACACTGTGACATGAAATGGAGTCTGGACGGGCCGATCGCATATGGTCCAGCCGTAGTAAGCTGGTAGCGGCCCTTGAATATAAGAAAAAAGACTAGGATGCGAACAATACTAGCACTGCTGAGCGGGCCCGGCGACAGTCACAGCCGTACCGAACAAGAAAATAGAAGACACGGAAAAAAAATACCCGACTTACTTAGTTCCATAATCCTTCGACACGGACCGACCTCGTGTGATATGGAAGGTAGCGACTTCATAGCTATTTCTATGAATGAGTTGAATCGCCCTCCTAAATGCGTTGGCGTTAGTTATATGTCGTGAACCACACAAAGGGGTGGTCGGTGTGTGATCGATACCTACATCACGATGGTAACATTAGATCATGAGAAATGACCTCGGTTGCTTGGTCTGTCAGTGGTTGAATCCCGACGTCGATGATGTTCGCAATGATAGCTAGAAGCCAAACTCAGAATCATTGTCCGATCCGGCAAAATACAAAACAAAAGTTTACTTTAAGTAAAACGCGTGGTCCAGCAGTGACCTGAGCCCTTACGCGGATCAAGCTCAAAAATCAAATATGAAACGATAGAAGTACGAACACATCAGATTAAACTGCCTGCGTCAACCGAGAGCGGTCCCAATCCCATAGCAAATGACTATGGCTCATGGCAAAATGAGATTTGGCCGAGGAACCAAGAGTGTCTGAGGAGGGACGTGTTCGAGGCAACAGAATCGGTGATTGAAACTATCGAGTTCCATTTCATCAAATGTGCAACTAGAGAGAGTCTGTTAGTAGGCAAGCCAGGAATGATGAATTCGAATGATACGATTGTCTAAAGAATCGGACGAGTCCGGGCCGGTTTGAATGAACTCGAGGAAGTTGCCGCGGAGCCCAGTTGGTTTCGACATTTCGAACCCAACCGCGCCGCACGAGAAATTCAGAAGTCGTCGAAAGACTTGGTGTCGACACCAGTCGCCTTCTCGCAGTGGGACAAGGGCAGTGGTGGATCGCTGGACAAGGCGTCTGCCAGTGGAAGCACTTCTCGAGAACGACTCAACAGAGTACCCGTCCAAACTCCGCTTACGACTTCATTAGGTAGCTGCAGAGAACAAGTCGGAGATTGAATTGTACTATATTCGTTCAGTACCAAGTGCTAATACCAGTCGCCTTACACTGTATTACCCCCACACGCACCTTGTTACTGTTGTGTAAGGTGGCTGGTCACGAGTCTATCGGAAGACTCTAAAAACGATTCGACAAAGGAGGAAGACTGATGTGAACTAATTATATGTCCTAACAAACACATCAGATAAGTGATGAGTCATGCCGCGTCCAAACATCGAATATCCCCTCGGAGCAGATATATATATACATGATACATGATGCAGGGAGGACATCAACAGTGAACACCAAGCTATTGTAAGTGATAAGTTTCTCGTCTAAGTCATAAATATCTCATCCACAAATAAAACCTCCACGCAAGCCTCGTGAATCACCGACCATGATTGATTCTCAGACGTCGACTAGAGTATGTACTGACCTTCCGCACCTCAGAATCTAGGTGCTAAGCCGCGGGAGAATTCAGAATCCAATGTAACACGAAGCGGGGAGATCTACATACCAACTTCGAGCAACTGGCCTGACTTGGCGAGCTTCAAATCGGACAAGAACAAGTATGGCCGTCGACTGGTGTGGTGCCGTGCTAGAACTGGCCTTTATGTTACGCACCTCGGAGTCCCAGCCGCGGATATTCCATAATCCAAAACATATATCGTCATACCGTATAGGCCAAGGCGCTTTCTAACCCCCAGACCTTCGATCATCGCGTGATAAAACGGGGGGATCTACACGTGGAAAGTTGAGGTAACGGTGTTGCGTCCAACAATCCACGCGACAACCCCTCTGAAAAAAAAGTGGTATACGCACTATTATGGAGTAGATCGGGAATCACGAGACATGCGCATGTGCATGCGATAGTCCTTTATATAGCGATCATGATGGATATTAACGTTGGATAGTTTGGTGATCAGATTCAGAACAATACGTACGTACACACGTTCACATCTGTGGGGCAGCGCCGTGTAAATCTTCTCGTAAGTAAGTGCTATGGTGGCTGCAAATCCATGAAGGACGCTGAACGGGAGCGCCACACACTGGGGGATCTGCGTTGCAAGTTTGATCATTACGGCATGAACGGGGTGAGGACGTCGAGAAGGAGAAGTAACCGGAGAACTCGCTGTTGAGTATGATCCATCTTCACAATGCAGATTCACATCCACTAGTGGGTTTGAATTCGGACTGTCAGTGTCAGTGTCAGTCTAGGAGCGCACTTGGTAGATAATAATACTATTTTGAGCGACTGCGCTTTCCAAACTCAGGCGTCGTGGGTCGTGTGCCTACATCACCCGACGGCTCGAAGATATGAATGAGGACTAGACTTGGCGAGAATACCAGTTATGAACGCACATTGTCAGGTGATGATGGGTAAGAAGTGATGGGTGAGGGAATAAGAAGACGAAGACGGGCTAGATCCTAGAAAAGAATTTGAAGAACCACCATAGGTATTATTGATAGCGCTGACAGTACTCCTACGTACGCGCGTGAATGCGAACGCGTCGTTCATAGAGATGCAACTCGAAAGACGAGTTCGTCAAAGTCGATATATGGGAAGATGTGGGGCAAAACGTTCGGAAGAGGTGCCCGACACGGAGTGCGTGAAGGCGCGGAAATGAAAGTTAATGAAGTGTCACCTGAAGCGGAGCTGATCTGGCGGTGTAGGTGAGCCAGGATATAATACTGGGGTAAAGCGTTCCATAGTTGGCTTGGCATGTCATGAAAGAAGGGTGGCGTAGACATCGGGTAGGTTGAGGACAGCGCGGCGCAAAGAGTGGCGGGATGACGCGAAGGCGGCTTATCGTGCGATGCGGCACCCAATTTATATGTCAATCGAGGATCGTGTGAGCTAGGAGACCATGACATGAACACAAGACTTGAAGTGGAACGAGAATATGGAAACGTTGAAATGTACATACTTATGAAGTGAAGTGATGCGCGCGCGGGGAAGCATACGAGTATATATAAAGACGGGAGCACCAGAGGCGGGGATGGACGGCGAACACGAGAACGACAGCCTTGAAATGGTAGTGAGCGATGCTAAGAGAAGTTGTAAGGCACGAGCAGTACGAACCACGCGGTACTCGTAAAAATTTTGCTGTTAGACGTATCTCGGGAGAGTTGGCACAGCACGGATCAGGGAGAACGTCATGGTAGCTAGTAAGAATTTGATATGTTATTCGAATGACGAATACTCTTCAGAAGGAATAATGCACAGATTCTGAAGTGAATGTGACCACCGGGGGCTGAGCACAAACCCAGTTGCTAGTCCACGTTGTCGAGGCTGACCGGTTAGTCATCAATGGCCGAATCCGCGGAAACAAATTAGGATGTACGAGCTGTGATTGGGTGGGGGTAAATTATCGAGTACTTACGGGAGTGAAGTGAGTTAAATAAGGAGTGGCCATGCCATGTGTTTTACTTTTCATTTTCTCGTCGACATCGTCTTGTCCTCGTTCGAAGCATTCAGGCCATAGAATGCGTGTGCCGCAGTTCGTTTGCTGAACCCCAATCCACGTTTCATCTGTTGACGCGCAACTCTCAACTCGGAATTGGAAACCGGTGATTCGCAGAACCGGGGCACTTGGATAGAAGAGACGCGCTGTGGGAAGCTCAGCCATCTTCGAGGACGACTAAGGGTGGATTTGCTCTGGATCTTAATCTCAAGCTTGACAAACATAATTGTATTCAACATACTAGGCCTACCTATAGAGCTATCATCTTTCACGACCAAGACGCGATACAGGAGTCGATCTGGATTTATCTCTACTAATCCAAGAGCATAATTCACTCGGCATGTCAAACCGCCGGACGCCAGCTGATGTCGATCAAACTCATTCCGCAATCCCTTCATCCGGATGTAAGTCCCCATCACACTACTTATTCACTATTCGAACTAATTATCTATTTCTTTGCCTGAATAGCGAACGAACAACTACAAGATAACCAGCCCCGCACTCAAGCACATTCCCTTTCTTCTTCTTCTGCTTCTTTCCACCAATCCACTCCCGTACCAGCAACTGCTACAGGCGACCGGCAGTGGTTTCCACCATCTCAGCAGATGATCGTCACCAGCTCTTCCTTCTATGACCCTGCTCAAGCCTCGGCCTTTACACCCCAGCAGCCTACTATAAATGTCTGGGATACCCAATTCACAGGTCCAGGTGGAGAATACTTTCCCCGACAACACACCACATACCACCAGCCGTATCGCTTTGAAGGAGCAGGGACAAACCAGTATTCATTTCCTCAAGACCAAGTTCAACAGCAGCAGCAACATTCACAAGCACGCCCCGTGGCACCCGCTACACGGCGCTCGGCACGTGGTAGTGCCAGGTCTTCTGGGTACTATAGGCAGGGGGGCACACAAAGCCAGGTAAGTCTTTGAATCCCCCTATTACGTGATTTCATGCGACTCTCGAGTTTGGATTTTCCTTTACCTTTTTCCCTCGATTTTTCCCCTTTATCTTCACTTTCTTCATTCCATTTTTTTTTGTCTTTCTCCTTCCTCTCTGATGCACCCTTTCCAGCAATACTCGCAAGTCCCTCCTTCCGTTCCTCCCAATCCTCCTTCAGCCCAACCTCCTCCTCAGCCGTCTCAACAGCCAACAGGCCAATCCCTCGCTGCACAGCGTACGACTCAATTAATCTCAGCTCAATTCTCACCAGTGCAGGCTGAACAGCAGTACCCGGCTCAGCAGCCCCAGCCCCATTTCTCCTCTCCCCCTCCGCCTACCCAGTCCCAATTCCAGATCCAACAAACCCAATTTCCCACCTACCTCACAGTTTTCCCAGAGTCAGCCTCAGGCTAGGCCGCATAATCAGTTCTCGCAACCCCATCATCCTCATGTTCCAACGCAATCGCACGCACCCCCTCACGCTCCAACGCAATCGCATGTGCACCCTCATGTCCCTACGCACCCCCAATCTCAACCCCAGGTCCACACCCCTCCGAATCCACCCCAGCAGTCTCAACACTATTCAGGACCGTCAGATCCATATTATCTTCAGGGCGATATGTATTATGCGATGAATACGCAAGGGAGTCAAAGTGCGCCTAGTCTTGTGAGTGTCTTTCTGCTTCTTTTGGTTTTGGATTTTTGGGAGGTATTTTTGGATGGCGGCGTACACGTACTATGCCTTGTTCTTTTTTGAGGGCACGCCGGTTTGGACGGGATGACGTTCATGTACGCGCCCGTGCATGGGTACTCCCCCTATACTTTGCGCCTCGTTGTCGTTCCATCTTTGATATTTGGGATAGTCCTTCTTGTTTTTTGTGTCTTGTTCGCTTCCATTTTTACCCGGCCAAGCCGGTTCAGATATGGTTGGACGGCTTTAGGCATATGTGCCAACGTACGGGTATTATACTTTCGTGCCTCCTTTTCTTCTATTTTTTCTGGGTTTGAACGGCAAAGTGAAGGTGCATATATGCGCCCATGTCCACTTTACAACCTCTCATTTTTATCTTTCATCCTGAATCGCGCTGATAATCATTCGTTTCACGCTATCCTCTTGTTCTCCTTCATGGAACCATCCGACACGGAACGTTCTCATTTCCTTGATCATGCCTGGCTTGCGATCACCCAACTTGCGATCAACGGTTGAATCACTGATTGATTGACAGCACTCGCAGACAGCAGAGTACGGCCAGTCTTGTGGGTGTTTTCAACGCTTGTTTTTTTCGGGGCATGTTTGTTTATTCTTGACATGGGATTGGATGGCGTATCTAAGCACCCGTGCAGGGATGTCATTTTTTCCCTATGTTTCGTGCCTCATTCACTTCTTTGTTTTGGGACACGTCTGGCTGTCTGTTCTGTCCGAGCCGCATACGTGGATATATGCGCCCATGTCGGAATAAAGTCCCTTTTTCTATACTTGGTGCTTCATTTTTTTCTTCTGTTATTCCGCGGCACTGGTCTGTTTGTTATATGTGCCATCCTATGTTCCTTCCGCTATAATCCGTTCTTCGTTCTCATCTTAGTTCTTGAATCGCGCTGACGATTAATCATTTCACGCTACCCTCACTGTTCTCTTCCGCGGAACTGGAACATTCTTATCAACTTCCTCGATCACACCCGACCTGCGATTCACTGTTTGATTAGCAGCGCTCGACACACGCTCCCACGTCCACGCCTCACGCGCACTCAATGTCTCCCCATACGCCTTTTGCGACGTTTGGGTCTCATACGCCACCTACGCCTTCTAGTGATGGGGGTGAGTGTGTTTTTTCTTGTTTGTCATTTTACTTTGTTGGCTTGTTGCTTTCATCTTCGCGTTTCGATGGCTTAGGCTTTTTCGTGCACTCGAATCGTCTCTTTTGGCTTTGTGACCAATTCTGCTCGTTCTGCTTCGGTTTCTCCATCGTTCTATGAAGCATGCATCGAGTTGCGGAAGCATGCGGACTGTCTGTGCCCAAACACGCGATGCCATGCGTGCTACTCATGCAGCTAATGGGACTTGGTGGATGGAGCTCTTGACACCTTGATGTCAAGAGGCCTCCCTTTATCAGTTATTTCATATCGAAGAACGGACAACGTTCTCTCGGTTATCGATATCGATTATCGGTCATTTCATATTTTGGCGCGGGGGTCAATACTTGCGCCTCGAACACGTGATGCCATGGAGCGCTCAATGTCTATTGATGGGACTCTTGGCACTTTGCTCAAGGGAAGCACCAGTTATTTCTGATCGAGGAACGAAGAACGTTCTCTCAGGGCCCTGCTATATTACATTATCAGACTTCGTGAGCCCCTTTTGGATGCAATGGGCTCTTGCCCAGCACTCAGCTCATCTTGTTTTCTGGAATTTGCGCACGACACAGGATGGAATGCGAGTCATAATGTTCCACGCGTCTTGTATGTATTTGCGCTGACGGCGTTAAACCACCTCGTGGCCAAACTAGCGCCCCGGCACAGTTGACCCGTCGTACCCGAACATCATCTCAGTCCCTTTGCTACCATCTATTGCGGGGTTCCGTATCTTCTAGCGCACCATACTGACGTTTATTCTACCTCCGGCACAAACAGGTCCCTTGCTTGGACTCCCGCGGTCACACGACTCTGTTTTCTCCGGCCTCGTACGCAAGCCACCCTACGTCCTCCTCATTCGAGGATTCGTCTTCGGGACATCCAGCATCGTCCGTAAGCTCCGGTATTGCACATATGACTTCACAGGGTATGGGACATGCCGCGACTTCGTCGGTCTCGACTGTCACCCCTGGATCGCCGCCAATCGTCGCAGTGCCACAACAGCAGCAGCAGCAGCGTGCGCAGATACGCCAGCGCCCGATTATGCCGATCACTGCAGCACCGACGACAACGGCTCAAGCGGGTCCCGCACGCTCTCCAATCGGACCGAAGCCGCCTGCCCCTCGCCCCGCAACAAATCGAAGAGCTCGCGCTCCAAAGCGACCAAGGCCATCGACATCCCAGGGCGGCGGTGGAGGTGGCGACAGTGACGATGACAGTGATGACGACGATGTGGTAGAATGGACTGGACCATCTATGCCTCCACAAGGCGCGGCTACAGGGATGCAGGGTCAACGCAAGTGAGTGACCTCGTACGTTTATTGAATCGGAAATAGTGTGCTGATTGAGCCCCGTTTTGTACGTTTTCTTCCTTTTCTGTTTCCTCGCCTGCTTTCGTGGACGTGGCTTCTTTATGCTCGTCTTATTCGGGGCTCGTCTTTCTGCAAATGGTTTGGCTCGTTGATCATCGTGTGGTAACTAAACCATTTGTGTTGGCGCAACGACCCTGTCCTGATCTCGTGCGCGCTTGATACTGCTGGTTTCAATGACGACTGCTCTTGTTATGTCAATTACTGACCCCGATACTAACCAACTCGATCAACATTGGATCCGATATCTGATGACTCTTTAATGGTGTTACCGCGGCCAAAACAACCGTACTAACCTCGACGTATGTATGACCTTGATGGCACGCATGATCTTGTATGCTGGGTGGAACCTTGCTTTCTCGCTGCGCTCCATCCTTATGTCCTCGTTCTGGTTGCGGTGTTTTTTTCTTTGTCACACAATTTCCGCTGACGTCGTGCTACCTGTCAATTGCGTTTGCTCCTTCCGCTCACTCAAAAATTGTTGGTTTGTGATTGTGACACTGTCATTTTTTTTCATTACGGTCTGCGATGCGCGCTGGTCGGACGTGCTTTTACTTGTGCACTTCCACGTTTGTTCGTTCTTTCTCTTTTTTTCATCTTTTCATTGGTGTTCCTACCCTTGGTGCGGATGGCTATGTTTTGTCTTGCTAAATCTTTCATCTTTTTCACTCTAACCTTTTGCTGCGGTTCATCTCAACTTTTATGTCACTTGCGCAACGTTTGAATTGGCCCTTCGATCTGTGATCGTTGCGGATGTCCTACTGCTAAAACTTCTACACAACCTTGTGCGATTGACATGCGACCCGAACCGGCTATCTCTGCCGATGTTCTCGTGCCGACTCCCGACTCCGGCTATACTTTCTGTCTTCCCGCTCCGGCTACATCTGTTACCGACGCTAAATCCTGACGATGACTTGACGTTACCGCGCCTTCTTGCACTGCCGACTCGACATCTTGGCTGACCTTGACCTCTGATTTCGTGATTCTACCGGTTTGTCAACCCCCGTCCTGCGACCCTGGCTATACGCTGCGTTCTACACGCCTTCGTCGCCTTGCTTTTAAAATCGCCTGCCCGTACGGTGTCTTTGGACTTGTTACCCTCGTGAAAATACACGCACTAATGATGACGATCTTGCTTACCTAATTAATTGACTTGTCCCGTCCGGCGCTCGTGTCTTGCCCCACACGTTCCATCTTTTCGGCTCGGCGATACTTCCCCAACTACTGCTATGTATCTTCTGCCTCTTCTGTCGTTTTCCGAATTTGCGCTCTCACGAATGCCACTACAGAACTGGAGCGTGTACACATTGTAAACGCCTGAAGGTACGTTATCTTTCTTTTTGCACTTCCATTCCATATATTCTGGTGCTATAATCTGATTGCTTACCAAATTCTCGTTCTCTTCTCCTATCTACAATGAATTGATATCCTTGCAATCTACGACACGATACATTTCGTCATGAATTCACGCTGTCTCCGGCCTACATCTGCTCCGAACGTGCCTTGGTGTCTGATGTCTGCCTCGACGAAAACTCGTGCCCTCACTTTCGGATCTCCTTTTGGACCACCGCTTCTCCTTCCGGGGCTGTTGTGGGTCCCTCGCACGGCATCATCGTTCTTCCCGCAACTGAATCTGTTAACCTCCGGTGATGGCTCGTAATTCTTCACACCTGCGGACTTCCATCCACATCTTCCGATTACTGCCAAACTCCTATTTCGCTGTTCGGCCCTATCCTCCACTCGGCACGACTCGAATGTGCGAACATACCCCGCACATTTGTGCACCGTGTTGCCGGCTCCTGGACCCTTTGATTGTCGGAACGTAACGTTCTCCTCCCGCATTCCTCATTTGGCATTTGGATGTCATGTGATTGCGATTGACTTCGATTGAACACATTCATTCGATCTGTAACATCGGTTTGCTGTTTCACTCGTCTCCGGTTGACATTACAGATGAAATGCGACTTTCCGGATGGGGCTAGTACATGCAAGCGTTGCGCAACCGGAGGGCACCCTTGCATCGTAGAGGGTCGTAAACCTAGGACAGCGCCAAAGTAAGTCTTTGACTTGTCCTTCTGATTTCAAAACGACGATCATCCTTCATTTTGGATGTCGTAACTTCTCGTTCTTTATTTGGAACCGGGGCTTGTCTTTGTACCGACTGTATTTTTTTACGCTTGTCTCGGCATGGGCTGGCCTTCCCGCTAAGTCAAATGGGATATGATTGAAGTCGAGCATGTATCCATATCTGGAGATCCAGGCCGGCCTCGAGACATCTTTCAATCTTTTCATTCTCGGTCGTCAATGTCCTCACAATTTCCGGTTCCGCTATTCTCTATCCGTCATTCACGTTTAGAACCAAGTACAAGTCGTGTCAGTCTTGCGTTTTGATTGTCTGTCATCGCACTTTCCTGGTTTCTATTTAAACCTGGTTGATTTTTGGTTGTCAGTCATTCCCGCTGTTTTGTTTCCGTTGACTGTTCTTCATATGCCCCGTTCGCGATCTTCATCTATTGATTCCTCTTCGTCTTTGTCGTCTTTGTCGTCTTCATCTTCTGATACTATGTCGTCCACGATGTCACAATACTCATATAACCCTCCCCGCGTTAGCAAACGAGAGTACCTCTTGGCTCAGATCCGTCACAAGGATCAGATCATAGAGTCTCTGTTGAAGCAGGTGGGTCGTTCGCCATGATGCTTCAACATATTCGTTCACTGACGTTCCTTGTCGAGCAGTTGCACAACCCTTACCTTGCGACGCCGCTTTCGGTTGCATCCTTCAAAGCAGCGACATCACCATCTGACAGTGACAACATGAACATTGTTGACTGGCTTGATCGTCTGCAGGCTAGTACCAAGCAACCAGGAATGGCCTCGCCCACCGACCCTAACTTCCTTCGTAACTTGCGCAACCCCTCTGCAGTTGTTGTGGATGATTCCGAGGATGACGATCCCGACGCTGAAGAGGGTCCCGTCGAAGAAGAGGACGTCGAGAAAGTCAGGAACTCACTCCCTGACGCTGCTGTGCCTATCGGGCTGCTCGCAAACTTGTCTTTAGATAAAGATAAAGACAAGGGTAAAGGTAGAGGTCGCCAAGGTGGTATCACTGGTGCAGGTAACTCGAAACCGGAAGACGACGATGACAATGTGGTGAGTAATGGCTGTTTCTCATGATGTCGACCCTGTGTTAATGACGGTAATTACTTGCAGGGTGTGGCCAATAAGGAGTACTTTTTGCCTGGTAAGATGCTGTCGTGGAACAATGATACATGCTGTTTCTAATGACCTAGTAGGTCCTGCCTCGAACTTGAATATCCGCAAAACCTTGGTGGAACAGCACACGCCGGAGATAGTTCTCCACGGACTCGTGAATAACACTGACGTTGAAAAGCTTTTCGATATGTAAGGTCACACAGCTCTTTACTTTCCTTCCGCTGACGCATGTCCGCCAACACAGATTCTGGAAGCAAATCAATGTAAGTGTATGCTTCTAAAGCTAGGAAGAAGCTGTAACTTACCTATCTTACAGCCATTCATTGGCCTCCTCGATCCCACGTTACATACATCTCAATCCATCTTCCAAAGGTGTCCCTTCTTGTTTACCGTTAGTACGTAACTATTCTCTTGACATCCTCTGATAAACGCCTGACTTGAAATGCAGTCTGTACTATTTCTTCGCGTTACTACAAGGAGAAGTCTGAGATCTATCCTGTTGCTATGCACTTTGCAAAACACTCCGCGGCTAACGCGCTTATCGACGGCTGGAAATCTGTCGAGTTATGTCAAGCTTACATTCTCATGAGCATTTATGCTGTCCCAGCTCGCAGGTGGGAGGAAGACAGAAGCTGGTTGTACACAGGACTTGCAGCGCGGTATGCAATATACCCTTCCTTTCATTTCTAGAACTTATCGGTGTCACTCTAGGATTGCTACAGACTTGAATTTGCATCAGGTCTCTACAACACAGCCCCAGACGGAGCGCCAGGAGCGAGAGATGTTGAATCGCACTCGCGTGTGGATGATATGTTTTAATATCGATAGATCAACTGCTACGCAGTTTGGCAAGCCCTCGACGATTAAGGAGGACTATATCACTCGTCATTCCGCAGACTGGTACAAACAATCTCGTTTCAGAGATAAGGTGTGTTCCAATATATCTTCTCGTCTCGGGTGCTGATCAGTTGTACTGAAGTTTGATATCCACCTATGCGCTTATTCAACGCTTCTTCGCATCGTGGGCCGGTTCCATGACGATATTTTCTCAGACCCCAGCTCTCCAACCGGTTTGAACAAGGTTTGCGCCCTTCATTGGCGTCGACTTCGTGACTAAACCGGCCTTGCAGGGTATCAACTTCCTTCAGGTTACGTTAGAACACGATCGTCATCTTACAAACTATTTTGAGGAATGGACCAGACGCTTTAATGAGGAATCTGACCCTGGAGGTATGATTTCATTCCAGAAGCAATGGTTAAACACGTGCTCATTCCTGTGCCTTAGATCCTGGAAGTGTATTCCGATGCACTCTGCTACCCTTGTAAGTTCTGTGTTTCAATCGTCTGCGAGACCAGCTGATGTGCCTCTAGCTTGGTCAGCTATTCACGTCTTGTCATGTACTCTTTCGGATTTCAACACGCCTTCCAACGAGGCATGGAGGCGAGTGACAACGTCTTTCTTGATAAGGTCAGTACTTGTGTGGCTCCGTATCCCAAGCCATCTTATTGAACTTTATACAGTGTTTCGACTCCGCAAAAGTGGTCATTAAGCAAATGATCGAAGTGCTGGCACCTAGTGGTCTCATGCGTGCTGCCCCTGATGGTAATATACTATTCTGATCGGTAACGTTCTCGGTCTCATTATATTCCAAGGTCACTTCGTCTTTGCGTCTTTCGCCTCTGCATTCATGCTCAAGGTAAAAGGTTACATATCCCATGTGGCGCTGTTCTCACCTCATTACTCAGCTTCTGCGTCCCGAGTTTGCTCAGCTGTTGACCCGCCAGATGGAGGACGAGATCTTTGAACTCATTGGCCGCCTGATCACGACGCTTCAAGATCTTGCCATTGATGAACGTCACACACCACGCCTATATGCTCGATTCCTTGCCAGCCTTCTTACGAGACATAGGAAAGGTGGAGGCTCTGTTGGTGGGCGTCTTCAACACGTTCCACCTCAAGGCCAAGTTTCTCGTCAACCTGAACCTCGTAGCTTCGCTTCGCAACCCTCGTCATCTTCAGGGACAAGATACGCTGGTGGACCAGCGCCAGGCATGTCACAGCAAGGACGCGATAATGATTCCATGCAGATGACTCTCAACCGAGGCACTTCAAGCTCTTCATCGCAGGCATCCACACCTCCTTCCGCGACTCCCATGATATATTCCGAAGCTACTTACTCTCGCGCTCAGTCGAACCATGGAGTTTTAGATAGCGATATGGATGTTGGAATGGCAGATGTGCTATCGGAGAGCGGGACATTGGCAGCTATGCATGCACTCAACGATGCCTGGTGGAGTAACATGATGATGCCAGGGTGTGTTCTGTGTCTATTCTTCTCTGCGACGTGACTGATCGTTTTCAAAGGTTCTCCTGGCCAGAAGGACCACACTTGAACGGCGTCGCAGAAGTTTACAATCACGGAATACCTGGCATCCACCCAAGCTTTGGAGGGTATACAGCTGAACCACAGCTAGCAATGTAACTTTTTCGTCCGTAGGACACTTGGTTATATGACGTCGTCAAGGGTCGGAAATTTCTCTTCTATTATTGATTGTTCTTTGGTTTCATACAGTACTACTGTATTCATGATCTTGCTTTCACTACCGTACACTGTACACTTGGTCATTCATGTTTTGTGTTTCAGAATCTTACACACGTAGACGACATTAGCAGCATCTCAAAATTGTCTTGACTCGAGCTTTAATAAGGCTTTGAAATATTGCCTTCAAGTTTTGCCCAAGTTATGTTAACTGATTCGGCGCCCATGGCGCGCTCGACAACTTGAACGGCTAACGCAACTGCTGCCGACCGGCAATCACATATAGGAACGTTTGAACTATGGCAATGTCGGGTTGAATCTCTGACCAGAAGCACGAATTGAAGGGATAAAAATACTTGGCAGGGTTAGCGCGGCATAACCCCGAGGACTGCATACTAGTAGTTCTAAACCCATGCAGCTTGCCAGTCCGAGTAGGACGCTCGCCGCAAGCTGTAAAATGCATCACGGAACTAAACTAGCACTTGATCATTAATTTCAAGTTGGACTCCTCTTCTGATCGCATTATTATTATCCTTTTTCCTCGCCTCTGGGCCTTGGCACGGCGGCCCATCGAGACTCCGGCTGATGGAATGTGCGCTTGGCTGAAGAAATAATTTCGGTCAGTTACTTGTCCCGTGAGCGCTCATTTCAATATTGACAAAACTCTGGAGGGGGGCAGTAATCCAGGGTTGCGAGTGATCAATTATGAAGCCCTGGACCATATCCGGGAAGTGCGGCTGAACGTTGCATATCATGCTGGGGATCCAGAATTCTTTTTCCGCTGCCAATATTATGGCGTGTCAGTATACGTTCTGCTTATCGCTCATGTACATTGTACGATCCCCTGTCCATGTCGACCCATATCTCCGATATGTCCGCTCTTTCTGGACCTCGACATGAGGCAGGAACGTTGTTAGTAACTCCTCCTCAAACAATGTCAAACAATGTCTTCTCATCCGTCCTAGGCCCTATTAATCAAAACACCGCATACCATCATGATGGTAATAAATAGTGGGCGTCTAACACTCGGCTCACATCTTGGTATGTCACGTCCTGGATGATACACAATCTTCGTGGGATATTGATCATCGATGTGTGACTCGCTGAGCCTAGGCTCTTGTTCCACCAAGGCGACGGGCAACAGGGCTTGTAGCACCACTGCAATCGCTCCGCTGTCGCGTTGTATTTCATGACATGTCCCTTGGTACTCATAACCGCCACGGGTCGCTAACAGTGCACATACCTCCCGAGCTCGTACCATCAATTCTACAACATCTTTCACCCACTCCTCCATCTCTACTCCCCAGACCGAAATTCATAGATAGGTCATGGCAACAGTATCGACACGATCTTCGTGCATTCATTCAGTTTGCGTTGGTCTGTCGAACTTGGTGTACTTTCACCCGCGAAATCATGTTGCACACCCTCATCGTCCCATGGCGGGATGAGAGTATTCTCCAGCTGTGTTCAATTCTGCGGAAATTTGGCTCCCATTCGCGCATCATGATAATCTTTACAATGGACGCAGGCGATTCAGCACGGCTATTGAACCGCAATAATTTTTGCGCTGCCTTGGACGGTTGCTTCAGTTCGATGCCGCAAATTGCGAAAGTGGAAATTTACGGCGCCATGGACAAGATATTTGGTCATTCATTGCCAACTAAAGTTGGGCGCTTTGACTTCCTGTCGTTGCGCTCTCTTAAACTGGTGGGAAGTGTGGGGCGCAGTGGAAAATCACTCATTCATGCTCTAGGGCGCGCTGCGCCGTTCCTGGAAACCTTGGAGATAATGTATTTCGAGACATGGCCATTTGACCATTCACTCCCTACCTCACTGGGAAAACTCCGCAGCCTCATCTTGCATTGCACCTACTTATCAGTCCCAGGGGTCATCGACCTTCTTCGTGGACCTGATGAGGATGCAAGCAGTGCGCAAGTCCTGCAGAAGCTTGTCATCATCCCAAGTCGCCTTCAAAGTATCCCTCCACCAGATATCACGCCTCTGCTCACATTCGACTCGACCGGCGAGCGTCTTCGATTTTTAATGATACACATGCTTGATCCGTGCCGTTCACTGGAATGTTGCCCTGCTCTCGAGACATTCATTTACGTATCTCCGACGACTTCAAACATATTTCCGTTTTTACCTCGCACGCTTCGCCGGCTTGCCATTTCAGCAATGTTGCTGTCTCCTTCGGATCGTTTTGTCGCATATATCTCATCCGAGAATGCACGAAACCTGTTGCATCTTGCCGTAGCTCTCAAGGATGATGCCGATTTGGCGTTTGCGACTACGAGCGAGCCGTTCGTTAGTGTCACGGAGGCTTGCAAAGATGCTGGAGTGTCGCTGACCTGGATGGTTCCGGGTATGTTAGGGCTGGGTCTTGAGGGGTGGGATGATGTCGCAGAGTTGTTCCAGACCGTCCAATCCTTGCCAAGGGGTAGGCTCAAGATTGTCTGATGATCTTATGTGCAATCTATACCAGCTATTTATTGTCGAATTAAATTGGTACTAGTTGGTCTTTATTTCTATTCAAAAAGTTATAATGCTTCAACTCTAGCCGGTTTGTCGCTTGCGTTGAATTTTCAATAGGCATAATTTTTCCCTATACCAAACTATGGGACCAGGACCGTCGACGCCCATACGTATAAGTTGATTTTGTCCTTGTTTGTATCCGGCTCAAGCATCTTATCACCGCATTCATGCTTATCCTCACATTCCGAGTCCGAGTCTTGGGCGGCCCGAGTTAATTCAGCATGGATGAATGTTGATCTTTCAAGTGAGAAAGCAGCTCAGACGTCGTGACACAACTGAAGCGAGGGCAGTACGGATTCTTGCGGAGTTTCCATCGTTCTGTACAGTACTTCCAAAGCAAGATGGAAGAATATGTAAGATAGGTATTATTGCCGTCCCCGAGAGAAGCATTGATACACATGAGAAATGAGCGGGCAAGTAAGTATTCAGCAGCGTATGAACGGAACACCTGTGACACGTTGTGTCTCACCGTTTTAACTGGAGAAAGGAGAGAAAATCATAAAGAAAAAGATATCTCGCAAAAGATAGAAACATTGAGCATGAGGATGCCTTGGAAAGAGGCAAATCATAATGGGACCACGAAGGCGATTGGTCATAGCTTAAGCTCGGTAAGAACTCTCCGGGCAAGCATCTGGTATTGCCAGCCATCACCACCAGCCCTCCGGAACTGTATGCCGTGGAGTGGCAGCCAAGGAACCTAGGGGAAAGTCTGTCAGATGTTCGAGACGATGACGAGGAGGAATATCCTACCTTAATAATGTTAATTTCGAAACGGACTGATAGCGAACTGGCACCGATAGATTCGAATACTTCACGATCGACTTCACCGGTAGGCAAAGGTGCCGGCCGCGGAGTGTGCGGCTGTGGCGTAGCAGCAAAATCACGAGGTATGGGCGGTAAGACCTTGCCTTTTACCGGTGTTTGCGAGCGGAATGGATCACGCTGTTCTTCATGAGGTGTCCCTGGCACAGGTACGTTGGCTTCCAGATGCCGAGAATTGTCCGCCATAATGGTGTGGGTATTAGAGGATACATTGAAGAATGAAGACGATCCACTGCTGGGAGTGGCGCTTAATGCAGTCCCGATCGACGGCCTGTGAGGGAGCTCTTTCTCCAAGGGAGCCTCGTGCTCTTTTTCCTTCATGCTCTCCCTTTCCCTTTCCCGTTCCTTAGACTTCATACCAAAAGACATCTTCGACGCTTTCTTCACAAGCGATCGAGGCGTAATTCCAGTTTCGTTAGAGCCATTAGAAGCAGTTCTGCGGTGATGACTAGAGCGTCCTTGGACCTGAGTTGATTCGGGGACAGATGAAATGTCAATGGAGGGTACATGGATGCACTCAAAGCCACCCCGTGTCTCCCGATATTGAACTTGCATTCGGTCCAGAACCTTCTTAATATCAGCCTTGAGCACTGATGGAGGTTTTGTAGAAGTAGTCGCAACACTGTCGCACATGTCAGCACTGTCCAAATAAACACAAGATTCGCGCTCACCTGAACAGCCCCTTAAGATGCACAGGCTTGAATTCCTTGTCACTGTGGTGTCCACTCTGCTCATCCTTGAAGCCATCGTCCTGATCAACTGCCTCCTGCTCAACATTCTCCTCCACCTTCTCAGTGTGTCCAAAGCCACTCAAGCCAGTTGGACGTCCGCTGCTCGTCCCGTAACCAGTCGATGGCCGACGGTGTCGTCCGATGGTGCCACCGATACTAGGGAGCAAAGCTCCACCAGTGCTACTCCGGCGCTCGTGCCGCATCTGACGACCTTGTGGGTCAAGGATCGTGGCAGCTCGTCTGTGCACGTTTCCAAGAGGCTGGCTCTGGCTAGTAGTAATAGGCTGAGGGGCAACGATGGAGGATCTGCGTACATCAACATCCGCGCCCTGCTTCCAAGACGATTCAGCAGCTTTCTCGCCATCATCTCCCGATGATCGCAATGGCACGCCGCCTAACATCGTCGCTCGTTTGCTGATATTCCGTTTATTATCATCGCCCTTCCCAACCAGAAGCGTACCAAACTTGCGCACGAGCGTTGCGCCAGCTGACAACGGACTGTCGTGTGTGTGTGCACGATCCCCCGCGGACAGAACCTTATCCTGCTCCGTAAACTCGTCCTCCAGACCAGCCGAATGAGGGCCCTGCTCCTCGCCATGCTCGTCTACACGACTTTCGCCACTAACAAACCCTCCACCCCATGCACGGAGTGCAGTTGGCCGCTGGCTCATGCTGTGGCTGCGTCGATGAGTGGACGCAGGTGGAGCACGCGGAAGTGCTGTCGTTGGCCCTGGTGTTGGCGTGGGTGGTTGGGAAATTTCGACATGCTTCGTAGTAGGTGGAGGCAGCCCCGAGTCACGCGCTCTCACTTGCCCGTGGAATGCAGCAGAGGTCGGGGAAGCCGCTGCGGATGCTGCATCATAGGACATGTCGGAGTAGTGCGACGTCTCAGGCGCGGGAAAGCGCGGGAGAGGCATGCCGTAGTCTGCTTTAGCAGATGCAGAGGTGGCAAGCTGCTGTTGCTCCTTCTTGACAGGAGCAGGTTGAGTGAGGGTCTTAGCCGGGTAAGGAGGTAGTGCAGAAGCGTCAGCGGCGGATGCATTGGCTGCGGTGGCCGATTGAATGGAGAGCTGGGAGCTAGCAAAGCGCCCGGGACCATAGACACGTTCGCGCTCCAACTTCTCGCGGGAGAGGTAATACATTGTAACCAGTGGATGGAATCCCTGCGTTGGGTCGAGGGGGTCGCGCGCGCCATCGCCGATTGACAGAAGTGACTGAGAGGTGGGAGGCGAGTGAGAAGGAGTAGTGGGCGGCGATGAGGAAGGGGAGAACAGCTTGCGGCGATAAAAGTCAAACCCGGAAAAACGTTTCGATTTCTTTGAAGGGCTCATCGTAGACTCATTCTTGTGCGCATTCGTGGCCGATCCATCGAAGGATATAGCAAGTGAAGAGTTAGAGAACTCCAAACGGTGGTTTGAGCCATTGCGACCACCGCGCTTGCGGTCCCATGCCTGGACCGCGCGGACATAACCGTCAGATTCGAGCACCTTTCGGAGGTTTCGTTCGATTTCCTCATCAGTTCCAAATTCGAAGCCTTTCATGCCTTTGATGACTTGCTTATCAAGGTCATCGGGTCGGAGCGGGTCTCGGTGTACCATGTGTGAGTCAGGGGGACCACTGAAGCCGCGAGTCATCCATGGATGCTCAAGTACCTCGGTCAGTGAGGCACGCGCAGCGGGGTTAGTGACAAGCATTCGGGAGAGTAAGTGCTTGCATTCTGGAGAATCGATTAGTGAGCAACATACTTCACAATACAATTTGGACGCACCTGCGCTTAACCACACAGGATACTCGACCAGCCCGCGCTTAATTTTGGCATGCAGTGCTGGCATGCTCTGATCGTCGAAAGGCACTTTGCCGCATACGAGCACGTACAGGACAACTCCAAAACTCCATACATCAACCTCTGGTCCTATGTAGACCTTCGCATTAAGGAGCTCAGGAGCCGCAAAGTATAGCGAACCACAAAAGGTCGACAGAGTGGAGGAAGGGTCGTAGAGATTAGACAGGCCAAAGTCGATGATCTTGATGTTACCTGTTTCAGATATGAGGATGTTTTCGATTTTGAGATCTGCGAGAAAGACAATGAGAATGTGAGACAATCCGGATACAGCAACCACGGACCTCGATGAACCACATTGTTTCGATGGCAGTAATCTAGCGCACTTCCTATCTGACGAGCGAACTTGCGAGCGACACGTTCCCGCAACCGACCGTGACTGATAATGTAGTCGAGCATCTGGCCACCGTTCACATATTCGAATACCATGTAATAATGATGTTGATGGACGATCATCTCACGCATGCCGCAGATGTATGGGTGATGGAGAAGCATAGAGAGGGCAGCTTCACGGAGAGTGCGTATCTCTTTCGAGGCATCTTTTGAGGCCTGCTTTGCGACTGCTTCTGGAGTTGCATTTGAACCATTTGGCTGGGAAGCCTGCGGATACACTCGGGGGAGGATTTTGACGGCGAGCTACGAACAATCAGGTATTTGAACGATAATTCATGTTCGATACGAACGTAGCACGCACCTTCTCTTCCGTGACATTGTGAATAGCCAACTTGACCTTTCCCATACTGCCAGCCCCAAGCGTCTTGGTCAAGGTATAATCACCAAGGATGCGGTTTGAGCTTCGACCCTGCTTGCTAGTTGAACCATCTCTGATCTGACGGTGTTTTGAGTCTGTAGTCTGCTGCCTTTCGCGGTCTGAAGAACTTGACATTGAAGTTGTGGTAGCAGTGAATGCTTGTGGAGGCAATGAAACTGGGCGGGGCCTGTGAGACGTGGCCTGCGGCCTTGGAGAGGGTAAAGGGCGTGGAATAGCAGTATTTTGCGTCGTGGTCACCGTCCTAAAGGTTGTTGTAGCTGTTGTTGACGGTGTTAAAGTATGTGACCTTGCTGGTGGAGGTGATGAAAGAAGCTGTGGCTGATGAGCCGAAGGTGGTTGCGTGATGGCCATATCAAACTCATAAGTTCTTGCGTGCGACGGCGTAACCAAACCAGATTCTTCAGGCACCTGTCCTAGCGGCGCTGCCATAGACGACGGGTAGAATGCTGCCATGAACGTCTCTAACGTTAACCAAGGACTTTCAAAGGCAGGGCAGTGCTCGCTAGTTATTAGTAAAACCGCCTCCAAATCAATGTTTTAAAATCAGTCAGGGCGGTCGAGCGTCTATGTTCGCAAACGGAGATTTGCTCCCAGTTGATAATCCGAACCCAGATTTTCTCATGTATGTCTCATCAGGTCTCATCTTAATCCCCTAAGGTGAAAACGATCCATGTCCTTCTTCCTCATTCAGAACTTGCAAAACGTGGATATTGAAATGGCTGAGGCCGTGTAATACATTGCTAGTGCAGAGGTAACGATGCCAACCACTATGGCAAGGCACTAGAATCATAGCCCAGATACGCGCATGGGGAAGCAAGGATAACAATTACCGCAAGAAGCTCACCTAGTACTCTCAGGCTGTCGAAGCGCAGAAATAGCATATGTATTAATAAGACTCACTCTTTGCAAATAATGGATTATCAGAAGCAGTCCTTCTACCGCAGGAGTTAATAAACACCGATTATTACTTCTGACTGTCAGATAACCATATCACTGGATGGTGATTGAACATAGGCCAAGGAGGCAGGACAACCTATAGCAAAAGTATGAATTGATTGGGTACATGAACGACTCGCCAAATAAACTCACCAGAGACAGCGCTACAGTACAGAGTGCAAACGTACTCATTGTTATCATGAGAGAGCTGAAGGCAAACCCAATCACAAAAGAGAGGAACTGCCAGAAGAGATCTAATTGGTTAAACGCAGCGACGGTGAAGGGTACGTACCGTGCTAGTAATGAGTACCACGCGAACAATATCGTCCGCCGTTTTTTGCCCTTTGAAGTCCTGAATTGTTATATGGTCAGCTCCGTCCCGAAGAACCAAAAAAGCACACCCGCTATTCTGCCTTCCACTAGCTCCTGTATGGTCATGACTGTTGTCTAGAAAGTGCAATAATGCATATGCAGGTGAAAGTGACACGACTTGCGTGGGAATATGTTGCCTATCTCGAAAGGACTTGGTTGCATGTGGGCCCCGGATCATCATCAGGCAAAACTATCACGCTCCCGTATCATAGGCCATCGACTCGATGCCAGCGCTAATTATAACAAGAGAAACATATACACGGCTTAAATAATTACCCTCCTCCGCACTGCCAGGAACTCAAGATCCATTCATCTACTAGGACCTGACTGAGGAAGCCGTTCAAGTCAGGTACGGCCTTAATGAATTGCATCTTTAACCAAGTCTTTAACATGGGCTACGGCGCTCGGCCTTGTCCTGCCGTCGGCGCCGAACTGCTACAATACTCCAGGGGTCTGAGTGAGTATCACTGTTACGTCCGTTTGAGATCACTCGTGTCAAACAGCACATCGCACTTTTAGCAGCAAGCATACTTATATAGATATATGAGGGCCTTCTAGTCTAGTGTGGTACATAACTGATACTCTGTCCAAACGCAAATCGCCGTCCATTGGATACTGTACAAAACAAAGGAGATTCCACAACAATTCGTCAGCCTTTTGCTAAACAATGATGCTCCTTTTTACTTGAGCGACTCCGGGTCACTCTGGGCCAACTCCGAGTCGGGATTGTCTGATCGTTCCGCGTCCTCGCGTGTGTGTGTGTTTTTTACCAATAATACCGAGGTCTTTCAACCCAAAGATGACGATGACGATGCCCAAAAGTGTCGATGCGAAACAAGTCCACCCAGCTGCTCGGAAACCGACCATCAAGACTTCTGGCGACTGGGCATCGAGGTCTGGATGCTCGTTGTTGTATGTTTTGGACACGGAATCCGCGATCTCAGACGTCACTGCAAGTCCGAGTGCTGTAGCAAGCTGCTCACAAAAAAGCTCAGCGAAACAAAATGAGCTGAGGAGAGATAAAATCCCCTACTCTTGTGGTAACGCTGAAAATGCCACCTGCAAGGGATTGCGAATCTTCATCGAGCGATACAACAATTTGTTGGTTCCCTAATGGATACACGATAACCACCCCAGCTGCAGCAATATCAGCCTCTTTTCACTGAGAGAAGAAATAACGTACCAATGGTGATCATCATAAAAAATGCCATGTACCAGTAGTCGAGATCCGGGTTTATCAAAGCGAAGATTGCGCTTGACGCCTTCCCAAGATTGAACATTTATTCTCAGTTGAGGTTGAATCACTTACTAAGCTGACGAGCAAACTGATCAACATTAAGATCTGTGCAGGCACGCGGGCAACACAATATCCTGCTACGATGCTAGGAAGCGCTCCAGCGATAGCCATGGGTATGAACCGAAGAGAGGTTTGCAATGGATCCAGCAGTTGTACCTGTTGGAAGCTGAAGACCATCAGTGGTCAATGAAGATGAATTGATTGAAATAGATCAGCATACTATAGTGTGAAGAAATAATTTAGAGTATCGAAACTAAACCTGCAAGGAACATGAGTGACTAAGAGACCGATCCCTCGGAAATACACGCACCAACCAAAAAATACCACGCCAACGAGGGGACCCAACTTTGCTCTAGGCTGCTTCCAGATGCTCAGAGGTACGAGAACGGACATGTTTCTTGATTCCCTCCAGTGCTCGAAGAAGACGAATGCGACCAGCAAAACGATGGACACGAGGAATAGGCTAAGTACCTGGGGAGCCAACCAACCCTTTTGAGCACTTGTGGAGTCGCTCGAATTCAGTTCAGTGACGCCTGCTGCGAAATGTAGGGCGTGTTCTTACGAGAGGCTGAATGTTAGAAGGCCAAGGCCAGTTGTGCTTAGCACAGCGCCACCCCAGTCTAAACCTTTGTTATAACGCCGATTTGAGTGATCTTTTGGAAATACCACGAGAGCAAGACAAACGAAGAAAACAGCAAGACCGGCTTGAATACAGAACAATGAACGCCATGTGGCGCGACTTTCAGTCAAAAGACCGCCTTCAAAGTTAAATGAATTGTCCATCAGAAATGTTGCTACGCAAAACTTACTAGCAATAATGCCCAGAATAAAACCCACAGGCGATCCAACACCCAGTGCGCTGAAGGCCTTGTTCCTGTTTTCTCCTGGTGGAAAATATGACGAACATAATCCAATCGCAGCGGGAGTGTTGGCAGCCGATCCTATTCCCAAGAGCGCCATATCTACGATGAAAACATCTGAACTTGGAACGAAGGCCGTTGCAAGACTCCTGGTGTGAATTTTGTAATTTAAAAATTCAAAAATTCAAAATTGACTACTGACCAAATCGCGAACCATAGAGACCCAACCAGGAACATGAAGCGGCCTCCAAATATGTCCCCCAGTCTTCCGCAGAATAAAAGCAAGCCGCCAAATGACAAACTATTTAACGATATCAGTGCCTCACAGTTGTGGCGCAATTCTTGTAGGGACGTACGAATTCACATTAACCGGCCAGTAAAGGTTACCCTAGACACATGGATATCGTGTTAGAGCAGTGTGCGTGTAATATGAAACAAACCTCTTGGAAATTAAGGTCTCTTCCAATAGTGGGAAGTGCAACTGTGACAGCGCCGACGAGGAAAACCTTGGTTCCACATCGAGTTTATGAATTGGAGACATTCCAGAAAACAGTTGTTCATACTTACATTCAGAGTTGTGACACCACAAAGGGCAATGATAAATGCAATATCCCGTGCACTCAAGCCCATGATCTGGCACTCCAAGTCAAGTTGTGGAGGACAACTGTGGTATTAGAATTCCGTTTAGGCTTCACACCAGCATATAAATATCTATGTACGATGCGAAGGTACGTCAGCTTTTAGTGTCAGCCTTTAGTAAGTCGTATATCCTACCTTCCGCACGGATCCTGAAATTCCACCATTTGATGATAAATCTTCTGTGATACCAGGAGATCGGTACCACCAGGATCTGCGCGGGTAGGTGGTCCGTTTCACCTGTTAAACTGTTGGAGAAACGGCGTAAGTGAAGGTCAGGTAGTTCTGTATCATCGTCTGTTTCAGACTCCAAACCAGAAAATGGCGCTCGGCCGCACCGACTCCCGTTTGAATCACCCTCCTTGCAAGACTATACATAGTCTCGCATAGTGACTGACATATGTCTTGGGGGAACTCGCCACAGGTCGAGCGCTTGATGGTATGTTGCATGTACTATATGATGCGGATGATACTCCTAATGAAATAAAAATGACAGTCAGCTCCTGGCACAACGACATGTAGGTGACTCCATCTGTGAACCATCGCTTCTCCAAAGAAGCATAAGTCGCAGATTGCAGTTATCCGTTTTAGATCACTACATTTTAGGAGCAGGCAGAATGAATAACCGCCCGTTTTGAACACCAATACGGGTACGAAATATGCAATAGCTGTACTGCGTAACCACTAGGTAATCAATCTTACCTGTTCAACCGGGGGGGTTTTCGGCTGGTGTTTCGAGATGGGTATCCGGTGCCGTCGCTCACAGCCGCACCAATTCGTCATACGCATCTGTGAGTGCGGCGCAGTAGGACTCACCTTATTACAATACAAATGTGGCATCCGCACCAGAAGCTATTCCAAATGGAAAGGCGGAATATAATAACAAGGAATCCATGCTATCATCATGAGCGACTCCTAAGTTGGATTTGTTCCAGCTATGCTAATTCGCTAACGTCGCGCGAGTCTGTGCAAAATTGCAAATAATGTTAGGGTGGTGATCGCGTTTATGCTGCGGTTCTCTGGGTTTCTTCAAAAGACAATGGGGACACCAATGACTTGTCCTTCAAAAGTGCTGCATCGCGGCGGAAAATAAAGTTTTGGACGGGTCTTGTTGAGGTCTGTTGAAAGTAGTATATAGTCTCGACTCTTCAGATGGCATCAGACTTGTGTTCTATACCGGATGAATCTGGATGATGAAGCTTTAAAGTTTCCCGCCCATACCCCGTCTGCAACCTGGCAAATGAGTTATAAATAGTGCCTTGTTGCTTCTGCGTATCTGAGTGTGTGACCTTGCTGTGCGTTTCTGCTTGCTCATCCGGTTTGAATTTCTACATATCCTAGATCTGTATCATTTTGTGAGTTGCTCATATGCTGTCACATACTCACTTGCACACCGAATATCGATTCCCCGCTAGCCGTGGGTAGAGTCATTGATCGTCAACCCCCAGGGAATATGGACCATGTGGTCTGCCTGGTGGCGCTAACACTGAATCCGAGCGTTAGCCTGCTTCGTTGAATGATCCTTCGACTCGGGGGTTCAATTGCACTTGCAGCCGCATGCAGCAGCCTCAGTATCCACGCCAAGACGTATTCCAAGGAAAATAGGACACACTCGTCTTGATATGAGTGACCGACATCCTATTCGCCATCCCGTAGTGGTACTTAGTAGGACACACAACTTCAAGCAGAGCACTACCGACGAATTTTCTCTAGGCCTATTAGTGGGCGTACACCTGGTTTCAAGTGAACTCAGCTGTAGTACATAGTCATTTCGGCTTACTTATCCCACAACCGCGTGTCTGCCACCTGTCCAAGCGGTGATCATTTGATCAAGGAACACAGTATATACCGATATCATGCATGCAGCCTCAATAATTTTGAATGGGATAGTGCTCCGACCACTCTTCAACTCGAACTGCAACAGAGCTCCGAATCTGGATTGCGAAGTCGGCTCATTATGTCGTCCGACTCTGACCACTCTAAAAGTTGTAGAAGATGGAAGTTGCAAAGCCCGAGCTGATTGATGATGGGGCGGACAGAGTTTAAACTGGCGAGGATGGGTTACACACAAGAGTTGAAGTGAGTGTCTCAGAGGCCGCGTCGCTCGTTGCGTTCTCACGACAAAATAGCGGCGAGCCGCCAATCCCCGACTCCGCCCGCCCGCCTGCTCTCAAGTCACCCACGCCACATTGCCGCGTTTGTGTTGAACATGCATACCTTATACACCATATCTCCTCTGTAGCTTATCGGAGCACCTGTATATACGCATGCGCTATGATATATTCACGATTGTTTTACCTCCAATGCACCTCCTATTCGCCTCCAATGCTCGGTACTCTAATCCATGTACCTGCACTGGCCCTCGTTGAATTCTCCTCCGACTTTTCCCCCTCCCGGGCCCTCAGTCCAATTGTGTCACTCTAATCTACAATGCGTCTACTGGTCCAGTATGGCTTGCGTGGGCTCTCAGCTTTATATTGGGCCTTCCCAGTCTTGGGAGCGCTGTCGCATTCTCGGCTAACTAGCATCGCAAACAATTGGATTGTATATATCCTATGGCAAGTGGTTCTTCCTTTGAAATGGTCATCTCGGGTCGGACCTAATGCTTGGTGCATGCTATACCCATTGCTCTCCGTATATCTTACCGAAAGCGTTTCGTGCGAGGTTCATTCCACCTCGGCGCATTTTCTATACCCATTCTCGTCACGGCAGTTATATGGATTGCATTCATCGCTATTGTATGCCTTCTTCCTCAAGCCAATGTAGGTTCTGTTATTCACAAAATGTTTGGGACCGTTCTCATTTTTGTTCTGACCTTCGTATCAGTCAGTTGACTCATACGCTGAATTATGCCGTAGTCGCTGTTGGAATTGTGATCGTGTACAGTGTTGGCTTTTGGATAGTTAGTGCTCGTAAATGGTTCGTTGGTCATTTAGGCAGACATGTTCTAAGTCCTCGCACTGTTCGTTTCCTGAAAAATCTCACTACTACAAGTCGAATAAATAGTTGTAGCCGCATAACAGCAGTGGTGGTAGATATCCTCTTTCCGATGCTCAAGAATATTGTTAGTCCATGGTCGGTGCTAATGGTGTCAAGTCATTGCCGCCAGTGCTTTACCTCCCTCTTTAGTGTCTTCACTCTCAGTTACCATCAACTGGAATGAACTGCCAAGCCTGGTTGTCATAGAAGCTGATGGGAGGGGAGAGGATAATCTATACCCTTGAGTACGTACAATTTGTCCAGTTCATCTGATGAGCTTACCTCGGTGAAGTTGTTTCCGTCAGGCAGCTCCCAGACGAGCTCAGAGTTGTATGTCTGAATCCTGAGGATGCCGTTTGAGCCTAAAGACGCATGGTAGAGAAACGGAACTCACTCATATTCCCCGATTTTCCTCTCGTGGAGTTTGAAAGTAGTTTCGATGGAGGTTCCTATGACTCCAGAGCCCTTGATTTTGTTGTTGTCAACCCCAGCTTGCTAAGTTGCTGGACGTACTCACATCGATTTCGCCAGAGACTCCAGCATAATTGTTGCCCGCGAGGTTAACAAATTGCACTAGACCCTGTTCTTCATCGACAACCTGCAAGTTCCACTGCAGGGTTGGGTTCGGTGAGATCAAACACGCATATTTCCGATATCTGCACTAACCAGCATGTTCTGGGTAGATTCGTTGTAGATGTAACCGACGACAGGGGCGCCGTCACTAACGTTGGCCCAGTGCAAATCGACATCTAGGGTGGAATATTGGATGTTGTAGATCACGTATGTGCCCGGAACTGGGATAGTCATGGTTGTGATGATGCTTTAGTAGGTGTAAGGGTTGGATGAGTTTCAACAAGAGCTTGCTCGCCTGCGTCTTTTATACCACTTTCTTGACCTACTAGTGTATCAAGTTCATTTCGTAAGTCAATTTACTAGGGGCCTGGAGAAATTCAAGTAATACCATCACAAGCGCTGCTTCCTTCGTGTCGCATACACTGAGCAGACCCATCCACATCTGAAATTGCGACCAGAGGAGGAATCCCCGAAGTAATTATTGCTTTCCTGTGATCGAGAAGCTTCGTATTCGTTCCGATTGAGCAGAGCCCAAGCTGTCCGCGGTCCTTAGGAAGATTGAGACAAGGTACAATGATGAACTCGCTCTATTCCCTGCCCCGAGTGTGATGATGGTCTGGTAAGTGACTTTGATCCGTGGTGCAAGTGTATGAGAGATTATTGACTGACTTTATTAGGCTTCTTTGGACCGGGAGAATCTCCCGCAGAATGCAAGGGCTTCTTCACCTTACGCTTTCAAGACCATCAGGTTCACAATTACACAGGCCCTTCCTCAATTGTATGCTCTCAATCCCAAACAAGCCGGTCTGTACGTGTTTGAAGATGTAACATGAAGGCTGCGTTGCGTCTTTCGCCCACTTTACGTAGGTCGATGGCTTGCATACATGCATAGGTCGACGGCTTGAATGCATGCACATGGTATAACGGGAACATCTTGCAGGACTGGTGGACATGCATAATCAAATATGAATTCGATCGGGAGGTTCGACGATTAGAAGGGTTCGAAAGGGTCCGAAGAGATGGATCGTATTCTTGTTCGAATCGGGGCATTGGGAATATTTGCTGAGATAGTCAATTCAATGAAAGACCTTGAAAGGAACTAGTAGGAAGGAACTATGCTCGCACTGAGTCCTCGTTCGTGCATGGAGAGGGCATTGGGTGACTTTACGGTGAAGTCTGTGGACACAGACGACGAGTGATCAGCAACTTAAAACTCAATACATACTGTATCATTAGCTCCATAATTGAGCGCGGAACAGAACCCCCCTGCAGTGGACATAGTGACACCAGGGAAATTTGCAACCCAGGTTCGGATACACACGTCAAGTTTCAACCCGCCCTGTCCCCTCTTCGGCCCAGCATCTCGATTCACAATTTCACACTTTCGCCTCGCGGGTCCATGGCATATGTGCATGCGCAGGACTGAATATCAATATGCCCAGTATACAAGTCAGGGCAATACCTGGCAGATTTGAATCGTGGTCGAACAGGATAATCCATTGATATCATTCCCGCACCTGTGTCATCCCACTCAATGGAGCACAGCAACAACATTCTCCTCGTATTCGCCGCGTGGGACCGTCATAGTATCAGGTCCTGAAGATGTGGGCACGTCAACTCCGCCGTGTATAAATGGTTGTCTCTGACGTTGAAGATGCTGACAGGCAGAAAAAACATGATAAACGAGGATAAACACACCACGTGCCTTGCAACCCCTCGAAGGATGCGACCCCCTGAAATGCACATATGTCTATGTAAGTTAGTTGTACCAACGTTTAACGGCCGATCCGAAACTAAGCCCGAGCAGAGTCAGGTCCCGCTGGGATATCAATGGCCACCTTGTCCCCTTTCAAGCGAGTCAATTCCGAATTTCTGATGGTATTACGGTGTCGAAGATCGGATATGCCAGTATGCATACACTTTCGCCACATGAGGCTTTGGCCCGTTTACCGAATGTTGAAGCTGAAGCTTCTTCAAGGTTCTTCTCAAATTATGGATGATTGCACGCTCTTACTGAAGTGTAGATTCTTGGCCTGGGCGACTCTTCATCTATGAATTCAACCTCGCACCCAGTATAGTCTCACTGATGCTCAACTTATAAGTAAACAGTACGTAAATAATCACGAGTGACGGAGAAAGAAAGTTCGTCAGCGAGGCTTTAGCTTGTTTGCGCCGGTACCTCGGGAATGCAAACCGTACCAGTCTCTTCATCCCTCAAATTTCATTTCCCAACTAATTTGGTGTAGGCCAATAACTCGAAGCGAACTTGGCTCTTCGCCGCCCGAATGACCATTCCTTTACAACAGGTATGCCACTGACGTGTTCGGGGGACCAGGGTTGAATGTGCCCTGTCGAAGACAAAAAGTTGGAATCTGTGTAAATATGCCAACGCGTACTTGGCAGTCGGATGTTGAGAGGTGATCCGTCAGAGCACCGAGCCGGTTCCAGATAGATATATCTAACGGTTCCAGTTCTATGTACCTTAGCTGCCACTGTCACTGACTGTCATCCACCCTAGTTACTGACCATTTTTCTCTTTGCTACTTAAGGATGGCTAGACGCTACACCCGCACCTCAGTCTTTCTTCCATTGACTGAGGTGCGTATACCATTCACATTATACTATACATGATACTTACTAGCGCCCTACAGACTCGCGTTACCTTAGGTTAGCATACATGAACTAGTCTTTCTTCCATTGACTGAGACTCGCGTTACCTTAGTTCTCGCTCTCTAACAGGTTATGAGCCCTGCCTAAAGGGTAGCGCCATCTTCTCCTCAAAATCTCTCATTCCCGCCGATAACACTCGGCTCTGACGTTACCATGTCGTCTTCGGACTCCCTTCCCAAAACTGAACGATATCCGCATGAGAAGCTCACCCTCGACGGATCCAACTATTCTCAATGGGCCACTGGCTTTAAAATGTGGTCCGGCGGCATTGGGCTATGGCCATATGTCAACGGCGACGAGAAGGAGCCATCCCCCCCAGCCACACTCACGGACGTGGATCAAAACATCATTCGCGCAGAGAAACACGCTGAACGAGTACAAGTCTATAAACAACGCCGACTTCTCGCCCTCAGCGCTATGTCCACGGCGATTGATGCGCAGGACTTCGTCCACCTCCGCGATATAGATGACCCGCACATGGCGTGGATTGCTCTAGAAAAGAAGTACCTTCCCCAAAAGGCTATTCGATTCAATCAATACCTGGACCGCCTGTTCACCATTCCCAAGGCGCATGATAGTTCCTCCATCGCCCAAACTATGCAAACCCTCACCGTGCTAAAATCCGACCTTGCAGCTCTCTCTGTCACCACAGCAGTCGCACCCTCCACTTCCAGTGTCGTTACAACTGCGGCAAAGGACGAGTACAAGATCCCGGACGCGATCTTCGTGCACGTCCTGTTGTGCACCCTACCTGACTACTACGACCCCCTTCGTCAAACCCTCGTCAACAGCGATACTTCGCTGGACTTCAGCGATGTCGTCAACCGCCTGAAGACTCAGGAATTACACCGCGCTGGAACCAGTGGCAGTGACCATGTGGCCATGCTGTCTGGACATCGAGGAGGAAACTCCTCCAACCCCAAGACCAGCGATCGTGTCCCGCCGAAAGGTTTTGATGAGACAAAAGGAGATGGGTGGATAGTAGGATGGCGACCTAAGTGCGGCCATTGTCAAAAGGCTGGCCATGTCTGGGTACAGTGTCGCGCACGGCTCTCTAAGGACGACAAAACTCCAAAGTCAGCACCTCGTCCTTCCTCCCCTGCCACAACCGCCGCTAACCCAGTGCCCTCCCTGCCAGACCCAACTGACGAGTCTACCATACCACCTCCATTCGTCCTTACGCTGAAGGATCACTCAGCCAGTATCTCATCAGCCCTTGCTTTACCAGCTGGGTCCTTCCACGTAGACTCTGCCTCGACGGCTCACATGGAGCCTGAAATATCACGCTTTTCTCACTATACGAAACTGCGTGAACCTATCTGTGTGACCTTAGCTGATGAGCATGTGGTGTTAGCTCCAGGATGGGGTAAAGTGAAACTTGTACTGCGGTTTGGTGATTCGTTGACGGAACACGAGCTCAAGTTCCTGCATGTCCCTGATTTGCGCTGTACGCTCATTTCGGTATCCACCCTCGCCTCTGCTCGTATATCCTTCGCGACTACTTCTGAAGGAGGAACGCTGCGCTCTAACAACGGCAATGGGCCATACATCGCCCACGTACACCAGAAAGACGGATTGTATCTGCTGGATGCAACGTACCATACGGTTGATTCCACCCCTGCACGCGCAATGCTCACAAAGTCCACGCCTCCATCTCTTAATACGTGGCATCGTCGCCTTGGGCATGCTGGTTTTTCGACCATTATGAAGGCCACGGGACATGTCAGCGGGATGAACATCGATGAGACCACCCTGCATCATGATGTCGGCGGCGCTGACACGATACATTGCGTGTCCTGCATTATGGGAAAACATAAATGGCTTCCCTTTCCTACTATCGCACGCCGCGCTAAAGCGACAGCTGACCTCATTCACTCTGACGTTTGGGGACCGGTCAACATCACCTCCTCTACCGGTGATCACTACTTTGTGGTGTTCACTGATGACTACACAAGGTACTCCGTAGTTTACTTGATGCGTGCCAAATCCGAGGTCTTTGATCATTTCCGGAATTTTATCCCCTGGATAGAAACACAATCTGGGGGGCGCGTCAAACGGCTTCGCAGTGACAACGGAGGCGAGTACATGTCGAGGGAGTTTCTGGCCTACCTTGGGGAACATGGCATTGAGCATGAGACCACCATGCCCTACACTCCCCAACAGAATGGCGTCGTGGAACGCGGACACCAAACCATCGTCACCCGTGCACTCAGTTCGCACCACCTGAGCAGTTTCCCGCGTTCGTTCTGGGGCTGGGCGATTCTTAACTCAGCCCACATCAAGAACATGCTCCCTTCCTCATCTCTCGCTGGTCGCACACCCTTCGAGGCGTTCTATGGTCGCAAGCCGGATGTTGGCTACCTTCGTCCATTCGGTTGCCTTGCCTATGCGCACATACCAGAGGACACTCGTCGCAAGTACGACTTTGTCTCTCGTCGCTGCTTCCTACTCGGCCATGTACGGAATGCAGGCTACACTCTCTGGGATCCCTCTACCAAACGCGTCGTGCGTTCCCGTCACGTCCACTTCGATGAACACGTATTCTACGGGGATCCTGCTTCCTCACCCCTCGCTCCTCTCCTTCTTGACTCAGCGGATCTCCCTGGTGCCACTTCATCGGTGGGAGGTGTCACTCAGCCAGTGGGAGCACAGGCTGGTGAGCCACCTCTATCGACCCCTGCTGACTGCGTACCACAGGTGTCAGTGGGAGAACGTGACAACCCACCTGACCATAACGATCCGCCAACAATCCCTGGCCCAACCGAACAGGTAACACTGCTTATCCCCCCACAGCAACCTCCAGTACCTCCTCCTCCTGCACCTCCTTCGGATGTTCCGCGTCGCAGCACTTGTTCATGCCAACCGGTACAAGCAGGTCATATCGCACCCTCTGGGACCAGCGCAACGGCCATACCAACGCGACGAGTTCCCGTCGCCGAACGCTGGACATATGTACCAGAGTCCTCGACCAGTCAGCACGACAACGACAGTACCGAATCCGCAATGCACACAGCTACCGAACCTCCCAAACGCTCAAACATAATCATACCCGAAACCATCAACAAAGCTCGGTCGTTACCTGAGTGGCCTCAATGGTCAGACGCCTGCAAATCTGAGCTGCAGTCAATGCAGGACCTCAAAACTCACAAACTCACGCCACTCCCAGAAGGACGCAAAGTGATTGGTTCGAGATGGGTATTCACGGTAAAAACTGACGAAGAAGGCAACATCACATGTCACAAGGCATGCCTCATTGCGCAGGGATACACGCAAGTCGAGGGGATTGACTATACAGAAACGTTCGCGGCTGTTGCCAAGTACGACACGGTTCGTATTTTCCTCGCCCTCGCGGCGAAATTCGACCTTGAACTAGACCAGATGGACGTACGTACTGCCTTCCTCAACGCTGACCTCAAGGAGGACATCTACCTCAAGCAACCGGCTGGTTTTGAAGACCCTGAACATCCGGACTGGGTGTGGAAGCTGGAGAAAGCGCTTTATGGGTTGAAGCAGGCGGGGTATGAGTGGAACCAGATGCTGGATGAGTACTTGCGGATAGAGGGGTTCAGATTCGTAATGAGCGAAGCTGACCACAGTCTATTTGTCCTCCACGAGGGGGACAAAGTCATATGGCTAGTCATCTACGTCGACGACATGCTCGCAGTGTCGAACTCTTGCGATTACCTGGACAAGTTCAAGACAGAGCTAAAGCGACGCTTCGACTTATCGGATCTCGGTCCCGCTCGCCACTTCCTTGGCATGCACATTACGCGCGACCGAGAGAAGAGGCTCCTCACCATTAGCCAGAAGGCTTACCTTGAGAAGATTCTCAAGAACGCCGGCATGACACTGTGCAATCCCGTCAGTACGCCTATGACACCTGGAGTAACCTTGCAGAAGGCCACTCGCCCCCCAACGAGTGAAGAAGCGGATGCCATTGCGTCGATCCCATATCGCCGAACTATCGGGGAACTCAACTACGCTATGCGAACCACTCGCCCCGACATCGCTTACCCAGTTTCATGCCTCTCCCAATACATGGAGAATCCCAGTATCGACCATCATCGTCAACTCAAACATCTTCTCCGGTACATTCGTGGAACTACGGATTTAGTACTTATCTTCGGCTCGTCAAATGAGGGACTCGTTGGGCACTCGGATTCGGACTATGCTGCAGATCGGGACGATAGCAAGTCCACCAGCGCTTATGTTTATCAACTCTTCGGAGGGCCCATTACATCAGGAAATTCACACATTCCTTATTTTGCCCTTAAACAGACTTATTCACACTTAACCACCTTGTTGAAAGTGGATCTACTTGTCCGAAATTTCAACTTGAATGTATTAAGAAAAAAAATGTTGAGATGTATTAATGGACATGTTTTATTATGTTTCACATTAAAAAAATACAAGATATGCCAGGTGAATGATGTGAGAGAGAGAAAACAAGTTTTGAAATAAGTGAGATAAGCTGATTAAGGACGTTAAGGAATGTGTGAATTTACTGATGTAGTTGGAAGTCGCAGAAGCAATCTGTGGTCGCTACCTCGACCACGGAAGCCAAATATATCGGTCTATTGAACGCTTCACGCGAGGCCTTATATCTGATCCAGCTTCTACATGACTTCCGCCTCGACCCTGAACTCTACGACCCCGCACTCCTATATGGAGACAACCAGTCCAGTATTGCACTCTCGAAGAATCCAAGGTTCCACAAAAGAGCCAAGCACATTCGCGTCCACTACCATCTCATCCGTGACCTCGTCGACACAAACAAGATCGAACTCCAGTACAAATCCACCTCAGAGATGATTGCTGATAGTCTAACGAAGGTGTTACCTCACCCAGCTGGGGTCCAGCATCGGGAAAACATGGGACTACGTCGTCAAGACCTGCCAGGCGCTCTGACGAGTGGGAGTGTTGAGAGGTGATCCGTCAGAGCACCAAGCCGGTTCCAGATAGATATATCTAACGGTTCCAGTTCTATGTACCTTAGCTGCCACTGTCACTGACTGTCATCCACCCTAGTTACTGCATCAGTAAACCCCAATTTTCTCCACAGACATAACATTTCCGACAGTTTCCCACAGTAACCCACAGCGCCCCACAGCGGCACAGAGCTCACAGTAGATTTCTCCCAGCATCGACATTTTCTGATACTAGTTCCTCACAGCAACCCACAGAGGGACAGAGCTCACAGGGTGTACAGCTGCTTACAGTGTTTGTCAGTAAAATACTAGTACTAGTCACCATTTCCATTTCTCAAGCGCTACTACTAGTATGTAGTTTGAGCTAGAGCTATACTTAGAAAATTAAAACAATTTGAAGCACATCCGCCAAGGTCAAGACATAAACAAAATTCCATGGCCGAATCATATTTAGTGAGAGTACTACTGCCAAATACAATGTTTCTATTTGATACAAATCAAAAGAAGGTACTTGTCATCAGTCCAACTGGATGGCGACCTGACGGCAGGATGCGAATGAGTCTATGATACGAAGGTGTTAGTTGGTAGTACTATGTAAATGATAGGCGTACTTACTGTGAAAATTGTGTGGCGCTGGGTGGTGAGAAAGACCATGTTTCCTGAATGTGATGCGCATATGACCCAATCCTACATCCGCCTTGTCGAGCTTGCGCTTAGAGATGGCGGACTTGTGTTTTGAAAGAGACGTCATGACTTCATGTTCTCGGACGATGCAATCGGCAAGTGTTTTCTCTGCATCGAATACATCACGTCGGGCCCTTGCAAGGTCCATGATGAGGTTGGCTTCAAGATCATCAACATCGTTGATGGTCTGTGGGCATGTGAACGAGCATTGCCTAGTAAGATATCACAGTCACTTAACATTGAGCCAATAGTGTCGACCACATCGTACAAATCTGCGATACCACTGCCAGAGTCACCCAGGACATAGTTGGCTTGCCACTTATTGCATCGCGGGCGCATACGTGACGCCGATGATACGTCACTATCACTAGAGACATTCAGATTGAGATGTATTGGTGTGTGGCTTGACTCGGACATGAGGGACTGAAAAACTAATATGTTCGGATTCCGGAATCAATACCTTTACAGTTGAACGTCTCAGAATTCTCACGTGCACGCTATGTCGTCATTCCAGTGTCCTTCATGCGGCAAAGGCGGTTTCAAGAACGACGTCGCTGTTGCTCGTCACATGAGCCAACCTCGTTCTGGGTGCAGTACGTGGCTGCAGGATTTGGCATGCTTTCGCCCCGAGTCTGATGACTCTCGTATGGACTCGGATGATGAACCAAATATTTCCATGGATATGGACGATGGACCGAATATACCCAACATCGAGTCTGGTGGTTTTGGGGATTGGGATGAGATGTCTCGAGGGAGTACTGGTGGTAGTGAGAGCCAGGGAATGCCAACTCACAACTCGGAAGTTATCGACTCATATCCTGACTGCGCTCAAACATACGGCAAGGGCTACACGTTCCTCGATCTATTCAATTCCGACAATAACAGCAAACACCGTGCAATGAATCCGTATTACCCATTCAGCAGCCGGAAAGACTGGGAAGTTGGGTCGTGGCTCCTTCGCTCAGGATTGAGCATGGGGAAGATAGACAGTTTTCTTTCACTCGAGATGGTGAGTAACAAATTCGTCGATAATATTTACAATTTTTCCAAGTGATTCAGATAAAGACCCTTCCGTTGTCATTCCTTTCGGCCAAGGAACTTCGCAGTAGAGCGGAAATGTTGCCCAGCGGTCCGCGCTGGATGTCTCAAATCATACCTACAAAATTTCCTACGAAATTGCCCGTTGTGTTGTATTGGCGCGATCCCCTGGATTGTATTTCAAGCCTTCTCAACCATCCTGCCTTTCATGATCAGCTGGACTTTACGCCTCGCAGGGTGTATACCACTGCACAGAGGTTGTGTCGCGTGTTCTCGGAATGGGCGACAGGTGATGACGCGTGGAATATGCAGGTACGCATAGTATCATTTGTGCGAGTTGTCATACTTATCAGTTTTCGGACAGTCAGCCCTACCAAAAGGTGCAACACTCCTTGGGACCATCTTATCATCTGACAAGACGAATGTATCGACCATGACGGGCGACAGAGTTGCACATCCCCTTCTCGTTAGCCTTGCTAACATACACATGTCTACCCGACTCAAATCGTCTTCGAATGCCTTTGTCCTTACTGCTCTACTCCCCGTCCCAAAATTCATCTACAAGAAGAAACGCATGCGAGGTGTACTTGAGGATCGCCTCATTCACAAATGCTTGGATATAGTTCTACGTCCACTCAAGGTAGCCGCCCGCGAAGGGGTCATGCTGTCAGATCCTATCGGACACAGTCGCTACTGTTTCACACCGCTCGCAAGCTATATTGTCGACACCCCGGAGGCCATGATGCTGGCTGCCGTTGGCGGGAAACCTCTCCGGTTACTATGGCCATGTATAAACAGTTTGGAGATTCTTTCCGTCATGAACCTCGCACACGAGCAACTACACTCTCCCAGCTGGCTACTGCACGGAGTAAAGTTGATCCCGATGACATTGAGGCTTTTTTCCGTGAGGCCCAGAAGTTTCGTCTGAATGGCGTCAACACACCATTCTGGCTAGATTGGCCCCTCAGTGATCCATCACACTTTCTTACTCCCGAGTTTCTTCACCTCATCCATCACGAGTTCTACGACCACGATGTAAAGTGGCTCATTTGCGCAGTCGGTGACACAGAGATCGATTTTCGGTTCTCTGTGTTGCAGGTCATCACTGGGTTCCGTCATTTTCATGGCGGGATTTCAAAACTTAAACAGGTTACAGGACGCGCTCAATGCGACATCCAGCGCTCAATTGTCGCGGTCAGCGCGGACGCAGTACCTAGCACCGTGATGGCTGCCGTACGAGCTCTCATGGACTTTCGGTACCTCGTACAGTCACCCGTAATCGATGACATCCAACTCACCCGTATTTCCACGGCCCTTGAAGAATTTCACGCCAACAAAGATGCAATTATAGATGGCGGATTTCGTCGTGGTCAGCGTGGTGGAGTCATTGAGAACTGGTACATACCAAAGCTGGAGCTCATGCAGTCCATAGTTCCGAGCATAAGGAACACTGGAGTTTCTCTGCAATGGACCGCCGACACCACCGAACATGTGCACATAACGGAAATCAAGGATCCTGCTCACTCCAGCAACAACAACAACTACGATCCCCAGATATGTCGCCATCTTGACCGTACCGATAAGTGCCGCCGCTTTGACCTCGCTATGAGTCTGCTTAACAATATGGCAGACTCGAAGCGGCAGGGTTCAGATGACGTTGGCGATGTCAATGACAACGTTGATCTCGATGCAGACGACGATCACGACGATGGCGATGTTGATTTCGACGCAGATGTCGATCATGATATCCCACACCTTCTAGCGATGAACAAATACCCTGGGCATTCACGTCCGACCACTAATTACTTCGAAATTGCCAAGGTCCTTCAGCACAGGGAAGCGGGAACAGTCCCTGTGCCATTGCGCTCGTTCGTTATTGAATGCACAGCGTTCCACCTCGCCTACGACCCATCCATCAGAAATATATCTGTTGACGATGCTGCCATTAAGTTTGGCCTTCCCGACTTACGACCAGCCATTGCCGACTTTCTTCGTCGTGAGGATACTCACGGGAGGGATCACATCCATACTATTGGGGGGGCTAGAAGAGCTGGACCCACTACTCCACTTCCCTTCGACAAACTACAAGTCTGGTTTAAGCTTCGGCTCCAGGACACCGATTTTCATGATATCAGCACCATACGGCCTGCACAGACCCTCAACTGCGCACCCCCTTCTGATCCCTGGACCTCTGGCCGGTATGACACAGCCATCATCAATAACGAGGCGAGATGTGTATGGCCCACAGATGGTCTTCACGGTATGTTATTCTTACATTGTACTGAATATTTACTTATTGTCAAGTCGTAGGTCATACTATTGGTCAGATCAGGCTTCTCATGCGTCCTGTTGGAAAGAGTGGCACAAATTGGTCATGGAAGGACCGCTTTCTGGTATATGTACATTGCTTTGACATTGTTCCCCAAAGCTCCGGTACCAATGATCATGAGCCAAGTACGCAGCTCCACTTGCTCAAACGAGCGAAGCGTTCAAATGGTACTCGGGTGGGTGACATCATGCCTGTGACACAGCTCAGAGCACTTGTCAACCTCGTCCCTCGCTTCGGTGCAAGTGCGGACAACCGCCTCACCCCATATAATAGCATGGAACATGCTTCGCAGTTTTGGCTCAACAAGTATTGGGACAAGAACTCATATTTTCCTCTTTCCATGTAACTTTGATGTAGTCACCCTTTTTTATGCAATGCTCGCGTCAGTTGTGTATCTAGCCAATGGTTATTCTAGTCTATCTTATTCTTAGATCATTGGTCCAATCTTTGATGGCGCTGTGAGGCGCTATGTGGCGTGATAAGCTAGCGTTTGTCTCACTATTGTCACATACAAAATGGCTTGTTTTTTCAGGACCGTTGACAACGGAATCAAATTGTCATCACTTGTGTCTATCCCCGATGTCACTGACATCCCTGCTATGAACAAGATCACGTCCAACGAGCTTGATCGGCTGGTCACTCACGAGGATACACCAAAGGCCTCACAACCAATACTAGGACACTTACTCACCCAAATCTTCCAGTCTTTCACAATTCCTCTTCCCGATGTGTCCAACCTTAAAATACCTTTTGGAAAAATCCTTCATCACAACCAGCGCATCAACGAAAAGTTTAGCAGTACATCACCAGATACCCTAGTGCCGCTGTATGACACTGAAGCGAAGACTTGGAACTGGGCTCTTCCAGTTGACCCCCCAGAAAATGGTAGTACTCCAGCTGGGGTTGGACTCGGGGTCAGACTCGGAGGACAACGCCACACAGGAAACAACTCATGAAGAAAATTTTGCAGCGTTTCTCAATGCTTTTGCTAGTTGCTTTTCACGGTCGTGGTCCGAACTTGTAGCAATGCGCTTTGCAACCGGCACATGGAGTGCGGCCAATGCACAGAAGGCATTGCCTGGCAGCGCCATCAAGCGCAAGCCAGATATTGTCCTATCTGACGATATATCTGCCAAGTGGGGAAACATCAGGGTATCAGCAGAACTCACGCACAGTCGATACCAGCCTGCGATGCGACTCGGGAAGGCCGCGGATACCCATGCCTATATTATGATGAGTGAACAGCCCTGGAGGCGCTTCGCTCTCATATTATCATTCACAAATAAATATCGCCACCTTAGGGTCTTGATGTATGACCACTCAGGTGTGGTGCTGTATCCCCTCGCTTCGATATTTACACGCAACCCAACACATTTCTACACATCATCGCTGCTATCATGTTTGGGAGTTTAGAGTGCATCGGTTATGACACAACAGTTTCCTTCTCGAGGATTGTTTCACCACCCCGATCCAAAGATATCCACGGCTATCGTCCCATCAGAAATACTCCTGCCCGACGGGAGTAGTACGACAGACCATGCTGTTACCACATCGAGCTCTGATTCTCTTCCAAATCCTGATGTATCATCCGGCGAAGCTCTTGAATCGGTCGTCTCCGATGATTCTGATGACTCTGATGAGTCCTCTAGTGATTCTGCTCATGACTCAACTGAAGAGAGTCCGAGCGCCTTGCATGACTCGATGGATGAAGAGAATTCCTCCCCCCCTCAACCCACTGCAACCCGCAGCGCTCCCCTTCTTAGCCTCATATCGCAAATACCCCAGACTGAGATGACCGAGAGCATCTATTCCGTCACCCCCTCTCCCTTCCCCAATTCCCTTATTCTACTCAATCACCCGAACCTTGCGGCAAGATTCGTGTAGGGGAGAAAATCTACACCATAAAGAGGATTCTTTTTGTGACCCGAGGCCTCGTTGGTCGCGGAACCGTTTGCTATTTAGTCACCTTGGACAATGAAGACTACATCATCAAAGATCATTGGGTTCTGGGCAAGGACGATAATGTAGTCCTGAATGAGATCAAGATGCTGGAGTTAATAGACAACGTCCCTGGCATTCCAAGGCTGGTGGATTATTGGGTTGTTGAGCGGTCAGATGGTGAGCCCGACATTACCCGCAAATATTGGCACAAGGAACGCAGGAGTACCAGAGGCACCAGTCGTACTCATGTGCGTCTTGTCTTGAAGCCATGTGGTCGCCCCCCCTTCACATGTTCTGAACGCTTAAGGAGTTCGTGCGAGCACTAAGAGATATCATTAAGAGTAAGCATCTAGTTCGTGGTACAGGTGTCTTAAACTGATGCTCTCTGATTTTAGTCCTACAAACTGCAGTGGAGGAACGTCAGATTTTGCATCGGGACTGTAGTCTTAACAACGCGATGATCCTAGACGAGCTTGGCAAGTAGTGAAGGGTTTCTTATTGACTGGGAGTTCGCGGTTCGTATTGCGCGGATAACAATATCCCATCGGTGGTACAGTAAGTACACCTCATTCATTAAATATTCAGTTTATTAATTCATTTGCCAGGGCACAGTCCCTTTCATGTCACGTGGGCTACTCAACCAGGTCGCAATCCTGCAGCAACAGGCGAACTCGGAATCGATGAAGAAGAAAACTCGGGCACATAAATCAACGAAAAAACCGACAACCCCGAAATCATCGTCGGATTCTTTGGCTCTGCCAATATCATTTGTCGTTCACAGATTCGCGGATGACTTGGAGTCTCTTTTTTTTATATTCGCTTGGGTTTGCATCAAGTTCAGTGGTCCAATGGCATGGTGCGCCAGGGGCCCTTACCCAATCCTTGCTGGATCGATGGACAAGCCTTGACTTGGAAACATGCGCCCGCCTTCAAGATCACCTTTTTTCGCGAATCCAGCAGAAGAAAAGCGTCTCACTGATGAATTTCACACCGTACTTCAGGGACCTCATCCCCCTCGCAACCGAGTGGCGTAAAGCTCTGGCGGACAACATGATTCACCCCGTCACCTCAGTACCATTCTTGGTATACTCAACTCGCATCTTAACAGCTTCCCGACGACGAGGAGCTCGCAACTACTGTGAATATGCTCAAGAATGATGCTGCTGTTCTCGCGGATCGTTTCAAGGGGAAACGGCTTGCTTCAGAGTCTTTCTCTGTTGTGGAGCCTAAGCGACAGAAGTCCCATCATACTGGAGACACTGAGTCTGATTCAGCATCGGGCAGTGACGCATGACCAGGAGGGAAAGGTGATTCGATTTGTCCACCCGCTCATCATACGCTATCTTCTTTGTTATTAGCTTGTTTGCACTGCATATGCATACCTAGAATCTCGTGTACTGTGTTACGTTGTTATGATAGTTCACCTACGAGCACCCTACTGATTTTTCTCTTTATCTTCACAATCAGACAGTTTCTTTTACGTACTACTATTCATCTTGCCAATGATGCGCACTGTTTTTGCTTATGTAATCGAAATTTGAATGTAACTCTCAGGCTGGGTGCGAAACGTTTTCTTAACTGACGTCAATATGAAGCACATCTTCTCTCGCTAGTCCCATCTGAATATCGAGTACGAGTCATGATACACAACTCTTGCGACACATTGACTCAGGTGTGTTGCTCTATTACTATCATTACTAACAATGAAGTTTTTCTCTCGCTAGTCGTCCAATATCGATTACTGAACATGATATAAAATCCTCGTGAGTCTGGTATAAATTCATCCGCGTTGCCTCTTCCTGTTCTTTATTGCAGTGATGCCTCCCCGTGCCGTTGCCAGTCCCCAAGAGGAAACGATCCAAGCGCAAAAGGATCTGATGCTTTAAAGACGGCTTTGCAAAGAAAGTCGCGGGCTGCAGACATTGCCGAAGTACCCAGCATGGTACCCTCTCGTGTCACTCGGCCTGGCTGGAGCAGAAGCAGCAAATGATGCTCCCCGACGTTCTGGCCGCCCTCCCTAATGCAGGAACTGGAGGTAGGAACGCCCAGCTGAGAGAAATTGGATTAGCGCTACAATCTAAGCCTCGAGCTCACGAACACAAGGGTAGGACGTCCCTTGGTCCCAATGTTCCAGTCAATCCCCAAGCCCCAGAGCCACGTCGTAAAGGTCGAAAGAAAGATTCTAAGGTAAGTGTTTAATTAATGTTGTTACTCATGTTGATTCTCCCATAGGCGGTTCCTCCACCGTATAGCTCGCTCGTCAGTGATGCTCCAGATGCCTCAGCCATGGATATTGCAGAGCCCAGCTTGACATTACTACAACCTGGCAGACGGTTTGGATTTGCTGCTTCAAACACCACAGACTTTGTTCATCCCGGTACTGCTAAGCCCGATCTTCAGGTGTCGGAAAACCCATATGTCACCGTTGGGATGAAGGTCGCTGAGCAGCGAGCTAGGGACGTTATTGCTGAGCAGCGAGCTAGGGACGCTATTGCTGAGCAACGAGCAAGGGACGCTATTGCAGAGCAGCGAGCTAGGGATGCTATCGATGAGCAGCGAGCTCGGGATGCTATCGATGAGAAACGAGTTCGGGACGCTATCGCTGAGAAACGAGCTCGGGACGCTATCGCTGAGCAGCGAGCGCAGCATACCCAGAGGTCCGTCTTTTTGGAGCACAACTTAGACCCAGCTCTGCGCCAGGAGGATGACACTGTTAGGGCTCAACGTCATCTGAGGCTGCTAGGATCTGAGGAGGACAGCGACTCCAAAAGCAGCAGCAGCAACGACAGCGATGACAGTGACGACAGCGACAACAAAGATCCCGACGGAGAGGCTGACGGAGAGGATGATGAAGAGGGGGAGAATGATGACACTGTCAAGAGCTCGCAGGAGTTTGGTTGGGGGGAGGCCGGCCGGCGCCAGAAAGAACATCCAGGTAAACATCTTCGTGGCATGATTTCCCTTCATTAAATCGATATCATAGGATTTTCAAAGGATGCACTACCTTCGCAACCTCCAGTCGCTCGTCCACTCACACCTGAATTTGAATTCCAGTATTCACGTGATGAAGATGATGTTGTTGCCCTGACGAGCCTTGATAAAACCTCCGTAAGTTTTCTAGTCTAGCTGAGACCGACTCACTTCATTTTGTTCGTCCAGCGGAACGAAAGCTCTCAGGTATGATCACGTTACTTAATTGTGACACGCTTACATTTCTTTTCTTTCAAGGGCCCTCAGGACATCTCACCAGGCCTACAGCGGCAACAGTCCCAACACATTGAGGTGAGATTAGAAATTGTTCTAATTGGCGCTCACAATTAAGTAGACCATTACCTTGAAGCCCGAGGATGTATTGCAGCGCCACCATGAGAAAAACAGAAAGCCCCGTCTTCCTGACCCTGACTCCCTCAAGCTGCTAAATCAAGAAACCGAGTCTAGCGTTCAGCCATCAAGAGCCAAAAGGTCCAAGGCATCGGGTAGTGGGCCAACACCCGATCAACTATCTTGGTATGGCCCGCGCTGGAAGCGTTTTCTGGAGGATGCCAAAGCGGAATGTCGCCTGCAACATGCCCTGGAGAATCCGTTTCCAGCCTTGGTGAAGAACCTACCAGGATCAATCACCGAAGTTCTTATCGCAACGTTGGTTATGTGGGATAGGAACGGTGAACAATTTGAAGCTGGTGAGTGCTCATTTGTTCTCGTTCGTTCTCAAACTAATCTGTCATCGCAGGGGTTTGGCCTGAGCAAAAAATTAATATGTCTTGGTTGGTGCGTATTTAACTCATTCTGGGCCGATATATCGCTGACAGTCTGTACTGAAGCTGTACGACGATCTTTCAACTTGGCGATCAGACTTGAAGAAAACTGCCATAAGCATTGCACCACTATCATATTCGCTCATTCCCCCGCTTTCGGTCCCCGCTCAAGAACGTGCTGCTTGGATTGAACATGCGGCTGCTGGTTTAATCAAAGAATCGCTATTCTTACGGTTTGGGGTGGACGAAATGGTGAGTGATCTTGCACTGATCGCATCTATACTGACAGAAGATTGCCAGGGGAAAACGCGAAATTTTGCCCATCCCGCCCTTCGTGAGGTTGCCATCGCATTCTTTTACACAGGGCCATATCGAATCGCGCAAAGGATGCCAGAGATCTTCCGTACGGAATTGCCACTCTCGTGTTTGGCTTTGGTTGCCGCAGTGGTAGGTTATCTCCTTCACAAATGTTGTATTAATTTTTTTCTATACTAGTTCAATTGCGTCCTCGACGGTCTTGCGAAAAACGGACATGGAAAATCATACCCGAATTTTTCAAGCAAGGACTACAGCCCTATTTACAATCGGATGCTCGTATTTCTCAAAGATATCCTTGGAGACGCGTATCATGGTCCGAGGCTGTCAGCTCAACTGCAAGAATGGGCTGCAGCGGGATGGCAAGGATCTCCACCCTCTCCGAAAACTTTTATACTAATTTCATTTGCACAGGGCCGCGGCATTGAATCTCGAAGGAGTTGTTGAGGCGAAGCACGACCACCTGCAAATTCTTCTCGACTTTTCTATTCCCGCGCCCCTCTTTCATCGTTTTAGGCACCGTTGTATCATTGTGTTCCCGATCGTGATCTAATACCGTCCAACATAGTCATGTGATTGAATATATTGGTTTTGTTTTATTTTTAGTGTCGTGTAAGCAGTACAGCGAGCAATATCAGTACAGTGAACAATATCTGCACAGTTCCGGTGCTCTGTGAGTGTCTGTACATACATAGACAGCAATTTTTTTGCCAATTTAAGTAGAATTTCGTAGTTGCTGGGTGGTCTGTGAGTGTCTGTACAGAAATTCACAGAGCAAGGTGCTACTTGATGAACTGGCTAACAGGGACCAAGCTGTGGAGCTTGCACACTGTACAGCGCTGTACAGCGCTGTACACCACAAAGTGGTTTACTGATGTGACCATTTTCTCTTTGCTACTTAAGGATGGCTAGACGCTACACCCGCACCTCAGTCTTTCTTCCATTGACTGAGGTGCGTATACCATTCACATTATACTATACATGATACTTACTAGCGCCCTACAGACTCGCGTTACCTTAGGTTAGCATACATGAACTAGTCTTTCTTCCATTGACTGAGACTCGCGTTACCTTAGTTCTCGCTCTCTAACATCGGACACTTATCCACCTCCGACTGGTATTGGACAGTCTCTGGAAACGAAAGCCCAGGATCTGGTCGGAGTATAGTGACAACACTGAAATATAATTTGAGCAGTCTGTAGAAGACAGGTACGGGATCTTGCGACTGGCATTATGGTGATGGACGCCTTTGGCCGAGTCTTTAACAGGTTTCAGGGGA